TAATATACCTCCTGAAAATAGCTGGTCAAGCAATATAACACATATTTCTAAGATGAATTATCACAAAAGAACCAGTACAAATCCCAATAAAAGATATAAGAAAAAGAAAGAAAGTTACAGGAAAAATACTTAATAAAAACTATCATAAAATATTTCCAATAAGTGAATGAAAATTATAGCTAAACTTGTGCTTTAAGTTTTCTTTTTTTAATATTTATTTTTCAGTTTTTCGGTGGACACTACATCTTTGTTCACAACATCTTTGTTTGTATGTGGTGCTTAGGATCGAACCCAGGCCGCACTCATGCCAGGCGAGCGCGCTACCGCTTGAGCCACATCCCCAGCCCCATGCTTTAAGTTTTTAAAAAAGAAGTGAATGAAGCAATTGCCTCTGTGAAACACAGCACAACACCAAAATAAAAGTGTTCAAGGTAAAAGATCATTATATGATAAGAAATGACATATGCAAACTCAAAGAATTCACAAAAGACCTAGGAAAACAAAATCATCATAGAAATGCAGTTGAAATTGAAGAAACCCTATAAATATTTCTAGAAAGGAACATAGAGGATTTTTTTGTGTGTGTCTGTGTGTGTGTGTGTGTGTGTGTGTGTGTGGTGCTGGGGATTGAACCCAGGACCTTGTACAGGCGAGGTAAGCACTCTACCAACTGAGCTGTATCCCCAGCCCCCAGAGGATTTTTTAAAAACAGGAAAAGTAAAATAAAAATAAAGAGTAAGCAGACTAGAGAGAAAAGATTAACAAATAGATAACAACTTATGAATAATCTGAACTCAAAACACCAACATAACTGAACATAAAAATATTTAAAGTTATAATTCTATAAATATTTACTAAAAGTTTTCTAAAAATCTGCATCCAAATATTGAAAGGGTATACCCTGTCTTAGAGAAAACTAATATAGTACAGACATGGAAAACTATTGACACAAAAAAAGAAAAGAAAATTAGGCTAGCCTCAGATTTCAACTCTGAGAATGGATCACCAGGAAGGGAGGGGAGATAGGATTAGGAAAGACTGTAGAATGAATCAGACATACTTTCCTATGTTCGTATATGAATACATGACCACATCATGTACAACCACAAGAATGGGATCCTAATTAGTATAAGTTATATTCCAGTTATATATGTCAAAATACACCCTACTGTCATGTATATCTAAAAAGAACAAAGAACAAATTTTTTTTAAAAAGTTTTAAAAAGAGTTCTTTTTTTAATTATTTTCTTTTTATATAAATTGTTACATATAACTTTAATGTTTATGTGGACAGTATATCAAAATAAGAATGCATTCAAAAATAATTCATATAAGCTTTTCCTTCTCAATGCATTAATATTCTCATCTTCTAGAAAAACAAAATATTATTTAAATGTAATTATATAAAAAAAAGTTCTTAAGAAAGGGCTGGAATGTAGCTCAGTGGTAGAGAGATTACTTGCTTAACATATGTAAAATCTAGGTTTGATCTCCCATAACCACATACACAAATAGAAAGTTCTTAAGGAAAGAAAGTGTGATTCAAGGATTTTGTGCCTAAACAAACTGTTGTTCAAGTATGAAATAATTATTTCAATTTTGACCAGAACCTAGGCAATACTATTTACATAAATCCTTTTGGAAGGCTCTGTTTAAGGAAGAATTTAGTTAATCAAGTAAAACTGGAAAAACTACAGCAATATAACTGGTGATACATTTCTAAGCTGTTTAACTATATAACTAAAAATAAAATAAAATTATTTAAGATGACAGAACACAAAGGAAAATGCTATTTCAACTGGCAATGCAAATACGAGACAGATGACAAAAGTTGGAAAAGAAAAGGACAAAAAAAAAGAACTACATAAGAAAATAAGGACAGGGCTGGATTTGTGGCTCAGTAGTACAGCACTTGGCTGGCATGTGTGAGGCACTGGGTTCAATTCTCAACACCACATATAAATAAATAAATAAAATAAAGATCTATCAACAATTAAAATTTTTAAAAAAGAAAGAAAATAAGAACACTGATCTTCTGATCTTTAAATGCTGGAGGTTTTAATCTATCAAATATGACAATAAATTGACAGACTGTATAACTAAATTTTACTGCATGAAAGCAAAACAAGAATAATAAATATCCTAGATTCATAACTGCTTATACTAAGGAATTAAAAGATACTGTCTTAAAACACAAAAGAGTTTGAGGTAATAAAAAGTTACATCAAGAAACATAAGACTATATAAACAGAGATAAAAACAAATACTTGAACATAAAATCAGTACTTTTATTTTATTTATTTACTTATTTACTTATTTACTTATTTATTTTTGTGATGCTAGGGGATTGAACCCAGGGCCTTCTGCATGTAAAGCAAGCACAACTTTTAGTGAATTCCATACTTTTGACCTGGGAAAACTCAAACCCATATTTTTAAGAAACTAACATGTCCTCAAGTAAAAATGCTTAAATTCCTAGGAAAGATGATTAATCTTTCAATTGAAAAAAATCAAAAAATACCTCCAAGAATAAAGATCAATATAAAATATATTAAGATAGATGCATATTAAATTTCAAAGTTCTTGGCTTCTCTACAAATAGCCTTAGGCAAGATCACTTATCCATAAAGATATTAGTGAAAAGTGAAACAAATGGTGATTTGTTCCAATTTTGGAATACAGCTACAGAATCAAAGTTAAAAGATATGCCATGAAAGCTAAAGTATAACAACACATTTCACAGTTAAATACTGAAATAGGCAATCTTACATAACACTGTATAAAAACACTTTACTTTCACTAAATATTACTGCTATGTTTAACACTAACTGTTACACAATCAGAGACTCAGAACAAAAAAATGAAAAATAATCCATCAAAAGTAAAAAGTCCATGCTGTGCAGTTCCCATAGAAATCATTCTATAAAGGCACATTGGATTGGATTTGAGTCTACAACTTATCCATGTTTGTTTTTTTGGTTTTTTTTTTTTTTTAATCTCTAACAAAATAAGAAAAGAACTTACTACCTAACTAGCTGGGTTTTCGCTTTATTTATAAATAAAGATGTTGCCAGGTACAGTGCACATCCCTGTAATCACAGCTCAGAAGGCTGAGGCAGGAAGATCATGAGTTTAAAGCAAGCCTCAGCAAAAGCAAGGCACTAAGCAATTCAGAGAAATCCTGTCTCTAAATAAAATAGAAAAAAAAAATAGGGCTGGGGATGTGGCTCAGTGGTCAAGTGCCCCTGAGTTCAATTCCCGGAACCCCTCCCCAAAAAAATATGGATGGATAGATAGATAGACAGACAGACAGACAGACATAGATAGAGGTGTTTTTATTTTGGAAGCAGTTTTATAAACTATCCTTAGAATACTTACTATGTACATGTGTATGGAGCAAAAGGAAGGGACAGAAAGCAGAAAGAGAAGGCAAGGTAAAGAAAAGAAAAAAGGGAGCTGACTTCCTTACTAAAATAAACTCCTAACTATGTGTTAGGTAACAAAATTCCAGGACAATTTTCATATGGAAAAATGAGAAGTTTCCTGAATTTCCCCTTTCTTGTGGGCTTTTCTCATTTTGATTCCTCCTGTTATCAAAGAGAAGAGTTCCTTCCAAAGCTCAGTTTTATTTATATGCTGGTGAGTTCTATATAGGGAAGATATTCCCATTAGAAACAGTGGAATAGTAAAGTTTCGGTCTACGTTTAGACTTGAGTTCAATGGTAACCATACCTAAGAATGAGACACCATACGATAGAATATTATTCAGCAATAAAAAGGAATGGAATACTAGTATATGTAACAATGTAGATGAATCTCAAAAGCATTATGCTAGGTCAAAGATGCCAGTCTCAAAGGTTACACAGTATGTTATTTCATATACATATTTGATATTCTGAAAAAAGCAAACTAAAGGGCTGTGGCTCAGTGGTAGAGTGCTTGCCTAGCATGTGTAAGGTACTAGGTTTGACTCTAAGCACCACATATAAATAAATAAAAATAAAGGCCTATTGACAACTAAAAAATATTTTTAAAAAATAAAACTATAGGAATGAGAACAGAAGAGTGAGTACTGAGGTGGGGCGGGTTGATTAAAAACAGCAAGATGGAATCTTGGGGTACTAGAAAGGTTTTATATCTTACTTGTTATCATTATAGAATTTTATTCATACATCAAGAGTCATAGAACTCTATACTAAAGAGAGTGAATTTTACCATACGTAAAATTTTTAAATAAATATTTTTAAGTTCCTAAGAAAAAAAGATACTTCCAGAGCCATTTAATTTTATTCTCAGGCCAGTAACAAAGCTTAGGTGGGTACTATTATAAGTGAGAAAACTGAAGCATAAGGTAAATAAGTGAACATACAAACTATATGTGCCAGGACCAAAACTATAGTCTTAGATACACTGATTCTATCCCAAATGTTTTATTCTCTTAATTTTCTCAGTTCCACTCAACTTTCTGAGACAAATGTCCCTGAAGATAAATAGGATCAAAGGAAGGAGGGAGGGAAAAAAACAGTGATTAGAAGTGTATCACTTATATTCAGGTCATCATACTTAAGGAATTAAAGTACTCCACAACTGAAGAAGTCTGCATAGTAATCAACATAAGCAACAAATGAGCTGTCATTAAGGGATTAGCTGGTGATTTCTTCCATAAAAGCTTAAATTCATAATGCTCAGAAAAAGAAAATGCAACATAAAACATTCACAGGTAACCTTGTAACTATTGCTACAATTTCAGTACTACCTAGTTTCAGAACTACACTGAGAACAATGATGGTGACCACAATTCAGAACAGATTTTACAACTTTAAATAAACATAAAGTCCCAGACACCACCACCCAGGGTAGAAAATAAGAGGGAACCAATCAAAATACTTCAGTTTCAGAATCATATAAGTGGTAATATAATAGAAGAAGCATACTATAATTTAAACTAGTTTCTCTAAAAAATAATAAATCACATCTAGACCCTAAACAGCATACATCACCTAAAAACAATGGCGTGGTTTCTTCTAAAGTAGTTGCATTTGGATCTGCCCCAGCTTCTAAAAGAATCTGTGCGATCTTCCAATGTCCTTGACTTGCAGCAAGATGTAACGCAAAGAAGCCCTCAAAAGTCTTTGTCTTAATGTAGTTTTCAGAAGAATCTATGGAAGAACAAAATCTCATCAATCAGAAGATTATTACTTACTACTTTGTTGAAAAGCAAAGATTATCAGAGGAGAGGTGGAGGTGTAGCTTAGTGGTGGAGCGTTGCCTCACACATGAGTCACTGGGTTCAATCCTGAGCATCACAAAAAAAATAAATAAAGGTATTGTGTCCATCTACAACAAAAATTTTAAAACAATAACAACAATAACAAAAAAAGACTATGAGAGGAATTTAATGAAATATTAAAAGTTAACTTATAAATTATAGGGCTGGGGCTGGGGCTGGGGCTTAGCGGTAGCACACTTGCCTGACATGTGTGAGGCGCTAGGTTCAAGCCCCACATATAAATAAATAAAGGTCTATCAACAACTAAAAAAAAAAGAAATTTTAATTGTAGGTCTCATAATTCAAAACTCTGGTAAACCAAGGAGAAGTTCTACAGGGATCCTATTGTCACAGTTCTTTGATTTTCTTACCACACAAATTCTGCCCATTCACTTTAATTTTCTCTTCTCTAATTTTTGGTAAGGAGCAGGAGGGAAGGGGCATGAAATCAAAGGTCACACAACATCAAGCTCTGAGGAGGATGCAGCACCAAATATTTGCTTAAGCAAGATTTACTGAAACATTAATAAGTTTGGTTCAATTTCTAAATTTATTTCTAAATCCAGGAGGAAAATGGTCTCACCTCTAGCATTCACTACCTTGTACTTAACTAACACTATAAAGGCAATTTTAAATATGCCCTTTCTAACTTAAGGTAGCCTTAGTTAGTGAAAATTGCCTTTCCGAAAGAATAAAACACACCCTAAACAAACCAATTACATATGTTTAAGAGAAACTTCTGAGTCAATTTAAGGAGTGCATTTGTAATGAAAAACTAAAAGTTCAAGTAACATTCAAATTATATAAATAATATCTACATTAAAAAATTTTAAATACAGCAAAAGATAATACTGAGAGGTGACTTACTTACCAAAACAATAAAATTCTAAGCCCATATCAGAAGAATGGACTCTATGGTGGAGGCTGAATGGTGAAGGCATTTCTGAGAGTGGTAATAAAACAAACAAAAAAACTTCTAAAATATTTTCCTGAAATACCAGAATAGAAACTAATGATCCTAAAACAGTCATCTATTTTAAGCATTTCTTGTAATTATAACTCACTGATAAAATAGGCAGACCAAGCTATAAAGTTCAAAAGCAAGCTATAAGTATTTAAAGAAAACAATCTCAGACTTTACAGAATACTAAATGGCAAGCAGAATAGTCATATTTTAAAGTGCCTTATCACAGAAAAAGTGTTTCAGAGATTAGTCAGAAATTGGTATTTATTAAGATGAGTTTATTTAGATCAATTAGATATTAGTATTTAATGTATTACATGTGGAATACAATTAAGATTTTTTTGTCAAAACACCTTATAGTTTTGTGAATACAAATGATATGAACAACTAGGAACACATAGATATGTATATAAATAATTGATATACGTTGAGTTCTTAAGTGGGAAACTTCAATATTATGAAGACACCAATTCTTCCCAAAATAATTCATACATTTAATATAATTATAATTAAAATGCCAGTAGAACTATTTGTTGGTTTTGAACTGTTTGTTGGTTTTATACTTGGTAAAATGATTCCAGATGTTTGAGTGTGGAGTAGGACAGGTAATAATAACAAAGAATTCAGAAAAACAAACAAGACAAGCATTGTAGGGTAGCCTGGATTTATGCATTAAATCATGTCTTCAAGTTAAAAACAGTAAAATAATGCAGACAGGAGTAGAGAAGAAATAAATAGAAGAGGGTTTTGAGAAGTAGCTCAGTAGTAGAGTGTCTGCCTAGCAGGCAAGAGGCCCAGGATTCAATCCCCAACATGACAATTAATTAAAAAAAAAAAAATAGAAGAAAAGCAGACTAAAAAGGATGACAATTGGAAAGTTAAACCTGTAAACCAACTTTAAAGGAGTCCCTGTTAGAGAAAGAAGAATACATATTCTCTTCCATTAGGGGAAAAAGAGAATTTAATCTCAACCATTTAAGTACTATGTATTAAGACAAAAGAGTACACTAATTTACAGCAGGCAGAATTTTTTTTTTTTTTTAATCAATCTGGAGGTAGGTGGAAGGGGAAATCCTAGGGAGACAGTCTGGGACAAATGGGTATATAGGCTCTAGGACTTTAATCCAAACTTGTTACCCACTGAAATCTTTCCCTGCCTCTCTCCACTCTTTCAACAGTTTATGTAACATACCTTTCCCCACCCTCATATTCTAATCAAATTGACCACAGAGACCAGAACACCTCCAAAGATATTTCCCCGCCTTACCTCAACAACTCAATAAAAGGCAAGACATACCCAACCCTTGGTTTTGGGGACTGAACCCAGGAACTATATCCATGTTACCACTGAACAATATCCCCAGTCCTTTTTATCTTTTATTTTGAGGCAGAGCCTTACTAACAAGTTGCTTAGATTCTTGCTAAGCTGCCAAGGCAGATCTTGAACTTGGGGTCCTCCTGCCTCAGGCTCCTGAACTGCTGGAGTTACAGATGTGCACAACCATGAACCACTTACCCACTTTTATTTGGGGCCCCGCCTGATTTTCATCTATCAGAGCTGTTCCCTTTCTCCTCAAGGTGAAGCCCCTCCCCCAACATACTGCCTTTGTGTTCATGTTCTTTGGCCAGATTTCATTTCTATTGTCATTGGGTCAAGAATTCCCAACCCTAGTATCACTAAGATAGAATGCACATTGTAACATAAAAATTTAATTGTATTCTGAGGAGGTAGAAAAAAGATGCTGGCCCACATAATTTTGAGAAATAATGTTATGATTAAAAACTGTAAAACTAAAGACAAAAGGAGCTACACATAAACACTATACTCTCTCTATTTGATAAAGATGTTTCCTGTAGATGTAGAAATTCAGCAATTCTGAAACCACTATGTACGTGCATACTAAAATGGAATAAATAAATAAATAAATGGCTTATGAATCTGAAGCCCAGCTTCTTAAGCAAAGGCTAAAATGAACCTAGAATGTCATACTAGGGTCTAGACATCAGGATTAACCCATTTAATTTAACAATATAAGTATAGATGGCTAGATACAATTATGTATAGTTATACAATCATAGTTATATATGTACAATTATATGTTTAACTACACATATATGTATATACATAAATATACATAAATATATTTTCTAACTCTGTCTACTGAAAGGCTTTCAAAATGAGTGACACTCCAGTAAGAGTGAAAACATCCAGTCCACAGATCTTGGTTTTGAATATCATTCAACAACAACAACGACAACAAAAACAGGTCTCTTAGAATGGTTGATTCTTGGGCTAGGGCAAGGAATATATAAAATGAGCCAGTGCATACTGTAGGTTCAGAAAATTAAAAAGTGCTCAAAAAAAAAAAAAAAAGAAAAATCAAACCATGTCAAAGGGACATGGGATTCAATCTGATAGGGCATCTAATGGCTGAAACAATTTGAGAAACAAATAACATTTTATTGATGGACGGACAGACGGATGGAAGGAAGAAAGAAGGAGATGAGCTAAATCTCCCAAACAGAAGATTCCAAATAATTTATATAGAGGTTCCATCATCAAGGAAATAGAGCTTAATCCCCACCTCTTCCCTCCACCACTGCACACCCAGTGTTGGAGATTAAACAGGGCCTCAACACATCTAGACCAACACTCTTGACACTGAACTACAACCCCAACTCCTAATTCCCATCTCTTCAGTACAGGCCACCCTTAGTGACATATATACATACCTACCCTATGAAAGAGAAACAAAACCTCTGATATAATTATCTGTGAAGTAAAGAATAGGCATTTCTCACTCAAGATGAGAAATACTGAAATTAATTTACTACTAACCTGAGACCTTGAAAATTTTTACCTATAGAAAAACAAATATACTCAGCTAACTTTAAAACACTGAACCAGAAAGGTAACATCTTAAGAGTTACAAGATTTAGGCTACAATTCTGGCTCTGCCAGTTATAATCTATACTACACTTTCGGTAAATTACTTGAACTATCTGGAGCTCAGATTCCATAACAGTAAAACAAAACCTTCAGTGGGGCTCAATAGAATTATATATTTAGTTTCCTGAGTTTTTGTGAGACACTAATAAATAAATACTATAATCATTACAATATTATGGATTGTAAGACTTATTGTCAATTTGACAAAGTCTCCAAAATATTTTAAGAAAGTCTTCAGAATCCAATCTAAATTGGGTATGGAAGTTCCAATGATAAAACTGCTTCCCTTAATTAACATGTAAATTTTACCAAAGGCATCTTACCCAACTTGTGCTAGACCATCAACTACTCTCTCAATTTCATCCTTGCCTGACAAGAGAACTTCTTGAAAGAAATGGCTCATCATACTTTTTTCAGTTATTGATGGACCTTTGTTTTATTTATTTATATGTGGTGATAAAAATTGAACCCAGTGCTTCACACATGCTAGGCAAGCACTCTACCATTTAGCCACAACCCCAGCCCTCATCAAACTTCCTAATACTTTAACCTCTACTTATTCTCACTGGAAGACAAAGTGGTTTCTATTTCTCATCTACTTACTGAAACTTTAAATGGTAGGAGAATTAAAGACTCCCCTGATAGACAAACATGATGAGCATATCTTTCTTACTTACACTTTGAGAGTTGGGTCCATCTAAGCTGGACCTATGCCAACCATCTGTGCAGCAGTGACAAGACTAGGCTATAACACTCTGCCAATGATACCAATTAGTGGGTGTATTTGTGAGGATGTTTTGAAAAGAGATTAGCATTTGAATCAGTAGACTAAGTGCAGAATTAGGCAAGAATCATGCAATCTGTTGTAAGCCCAATAGGACTAAAAGGCAGAGGGAAAATTTCCTCTCTTCTTAACCTCCCTATCTTAAGTAACCATCTTCTGCCCTTGGACATCAGAGTTTCTGGTTCCTGAGCC